GAGTATTTTGGTCTTCTTACCTCAAATAGGAACATTCACATTGACGGTGTGAACATTTACATTGACAGTGTGAACATTCGCATTGACGAAGTGAACATTCACATTAGGGGTATTTTGATAATGATGTCACCCATAGGATGTGAACATTCACATTAGGGGTATTTTGGTAATTATGTCACTCATAGGACTTATTGAAACATAAGAAAATAATATGGACTAAATGGAACATAAGTAAATGAAAAGAGTATTTTGGTCTTCTTACCTGAAATAGGAACATTCACATTGACGGTGTGAACATTCACATTGACGATGTGAACATTCACATTAGGGGTATATTGGTAATTATGTCACCCATAGGATGTGAACATTCACATTAGGGGTATTTTGATAATTATGTCACCCATAGGACTTATTAAAACATAAGAAAATAACGTTGACTAAATGGAACATAAGTAGATGAAAAGGGTATTTTAGTCTTCTTACCTCAAATAGGAACATTCACATTGACGGTGTGAACATTCACATTGACAATGTGAACATTCACATTAGGGGTATTTTGGTAATTATGTCACCCATAGGACTTATTGAAACATAAAAAAATAATGTGGACTAAATGGAACATAAGTAGATGAAAATAGTATTTTGGTCTTCTTACCTCAAATAGGACCTAATGGAATAGTCAAAAAGAATATGGATTGGATGGAATAAAGCTCTTTAAAAAAAGATTTATCAAAAAAGCTCCCGTTTTTAAAATACAGATCAAAACTCAATTTTCGTCTCCTTTTTTTTATTATTAATAAATTAATTATTTTTTTTCACTCCTCTCTCATTCTTTTACATTCTATATATCAATTAATTAAATTTTCTCTCACACCCATTTATTTAACTAAAAAAAATAAAAAAAACTATAAATCATCCAAAAGCTATTTTCAAAACTCTTAACTAAAAAAAAATTTCAACTTTAGAACTCTTTTTAGCAACTAGTCTATAGCTCAAAATTCATTTCAAAGACTAAATCAAACGGAGCCTTCTATTTTCCTAACATAACTGTATAAATAATAAGTTAACAATTTAACATAATATCAAAGCAAGTAACAAGTCTATTTATGAATAAGAGTTTAGACACACGCCAGTGGCGTGTTGGTGATGTAGTCCATTTCAAATTGAATACTAAGATCTTGTTTGGCAAGTGGTGCTTTTAGTCAAAAAATTAAAAAGTCATTAAAAAAAATCAAAAGTCAACAACATATATCAAAAAGTCAAAGATTTTATTTTTTCTCTACTTTTTACACATCTTTTTGTAAAAAACCAAAAAGTCATCCCAAACATACTAATTTTTTTACATCATATTTTAACCAAAAAGTCAAAAAGTTACTAAAAAAGCTAGTTCCCAAACGAGGCACTCTCATTTGCTTTAATAAAAATGAATGGATTATTTTGTCCCTTAATTTTAGTCTAATTTCTTAAGGAATATTATCTATTTAAATTGGCCCAATATGAAAATTTTAATAGTAAATTTGATATAATTAAAATTAGAAGGATCAAATTAGAGAGAAAAAAAAAAAAAAAAAAACTATAGAGACTATAGGTATAATTTATCCTATAAATTTATTTAAATAATAAGTTTCAGCTTCCCTTGAAGTCGAGGCTCTTTAGTCGTGTCCAAAAACAAATAGGTACCATTGGTGACTCACAAATCACTCTTATTAAAAAAATTTAAATTAGATTAAATAAGTTGGTGATAATAATTTAATACTACCTCAGAAATATGAAGGGTTGGTTGAAGAAGACTTCTTAATTGGAGGAGCTTCAAAGAAGAAGACAGTCTCAACTGGGAAAATCACAGCTTGGTCAATGTTTGATGGGAAAATGGTTTCCAATGGTGTGGGATTCTTTGGGGAGAAGAGTTTGGTTGGTTCTTCCTTTATTACATCTTGACTTGTTATATAAATATGTGGTTTCCATGGTGAGAGAGTGCCTACTATAGCGTGAGCATTGTACATATATATATATATATGTATGTATGTGTGTGTGAATATTTTATGATGGATGGATATCTAAGATGTCCCTGATGATGGTGGTGGAGAAAGCACGAATATAGGCTTATATGGTGTGGTGTGGGTTGATGTTGATTGGTCAAAGAAGATTTGTTTAATGGTAAAGCTAGTACACACTCACTATTGATGGATCCTAATTTGGAGGCATAGCATTTGCATTTCTTTCATCCTCAGTGAACATTAATGGATTAAATTTTAAGATAAATTACATTATCACTACCTATAGTTTGGGATTTGTTTTATTTTAATTTTTGACTTTTTAATTATGACATATTTGATCATGAATTTTAAATCTTATTTTAAATAAAGATAATTGAAAATACCATTATTCAATTTCAAGGACAAAATCGTCAATGTGATAAAATATAAACTAATTTGATAAAAATAAATGTTAAAAAAATATTTATGAATTTTTAAAAATTATTTCTATCCATCAAAGATAAAATTATGTAATATTCACTACAACATTTTCTTAGTTTAGTGACATTTGAAAGTGCCACAAAACTATTCTTCTAATGACATTTTTTGGTCTTGTAGCATTTTGAACAAGTGCCACTTCTATCGGTGCCACGGTAGATACGAGTGCCACGGTAGATACTTGCAAGTGCCACTGCACCATCATGGCTGAAAACTTTCAATGACATTTTAATGTCATGGTAGCTATTATTTGTGGCACTATCAGGGGCCATTAAAAAAAGAGCTAGTGACACTTGTAAGTGTCATTACACCATCAAGACTAAAACCTTTCAGTGACACTTTAATGTTTAATTACACATTAAAAGCCTAACAACCACACATTACATGATCATCATCCAAACACATAATACAAATTAATTTAATAAAATAAATAAATGCGTAAAAGATTTATCAATTTTACATAATTTTATCTTTGGTGGATAAAAATAATTTTTAAAAATTTAAAAATATCTTTTTGACATTTATTTTTGTTAAATTAATTTATATTTTATCAAATTGGTGAATTTGCCTTTGAAATTGAGCAATGGTATCTTCGATTATCCTTATTTGAAAAAAAAAATTCAAAATTTAAGATCAAATGTGTCATAATTAAAAAATTATGAATTAAAGTGACACGAGTCTCAAACTATAGGGACTATTAATGCAAACGGTACTAATAAAAGTAAAAAGTTATGTTCGGTATATTAAGAATAGTGCTAACTAAGTGATAAAAATTAGAAGATATAAAGTGAAAAATAAAAAAGTAAAAATGAGTTAATTATAATGTTTTGATGTTTAAATATAGTTAGAGAGAGAGCGGAAGCGGAAGCAGAAGAGCTAAGGCAGCATAAAATGGAACAAAAGAAAAAAAAAATTGAGTGTGTTTGGTTTGCTTTTGAGAGAATGATTTTAAAATATATATATATATATATATATCAAGGAGAAAGTTTAGAATTTTTTTTTTTTTGTGTGAGAAAAAAAAGTGATTGAGAATGAGAAAGGAGAAAGAAAAAGTGTTTGATTGATGTGTAAGAGAGAGAAAGTGATTTTGAAATTTTTTTGAGAAAAATCACAAACTAAATAAAATTTTAAAATTTTTTTTCAAAAACAATTCTCTTAAAAACAAACCAAACAAGCCCATCGTCTCTAATGCCCCGCTTCCTTATCAAAGCAAAGATGATGTGGGGTGAGGGAAAATTGTCACAATTTATTGAAATTCTACATTACTCCAAATTTCAAAGATGATGTGGGGTGAGGGAAAATTGTCACAATTTATTGAAATTCTACATTACTCCAAATTTAAATAATGCCATATATTCAAATTTTGATCATTGAATAATTTTTCTAGGTATATATATAATATTTGTGTAAAATTATAGTGCATTGAATGAATCCTCAAGTGGATGGTCCTTGTTGAAGGGCCACAAAATTCAAGTAGTTTGAGACAGTCCAATTATTGGTCTAGAGGATTTGGACTCACAACAGAGGGCGGGACCATGAATGCTATACTGGCTTGGATTGGCCCAATTGCAATCCATCTAAAGGATGGCCCAATTTTTAAAACCCAATTGTGAAAGAGCAAAATTTAATAAGGACTGCAATGATATTTGTCAATAACTTCTAGCTCCTTTTTTGCAATTTCATAAAAAAACCTTATACCTTCAAGAAAAATACTTCATATCACTAATTCAACACTACTAATACACTATTAATGACATGACATTATATGCATCCCACTATTGATATGATAGTTTAGTCTTTATTTTTTTATTTATTTTATTTTTTCTTTTTTGCACTTGTCAGTTCATTAGTAGTGATTTTAGAGCTGCTGATTAAGTGCTTTAAATCGGAACTGTTTAAGAAAAATGGCTGACAAACTACCACGATGAAATCACTAGTAATGCTACATGTGTTAATTGTATGTCAACACCAGTTATGATGTTATTATTGAACTCACTCATTAATCACATTACAAATACCAAAAATATCTTAAATTATGTTATTAGTTATGATATTATTATTAATCTCACTCATTAATCATATTACAAATATCAAGAACATTTTAAATTATACCACATCATCAATTGATAGATTAATTAATACACGAATTGATATATATATATAACATTACTCATACCAACAATCTCTTAAATTATATCAAATCATTAATGAGTACATTAGCCTATTAGTCTAGTACATTAGTTTCGTTGGGAAGTACATATAGAATTATTCTAATAATCGTGTTAGAAATTATTAATTTGGTGACTCTAAACACACCATTAATGAGGTGAAAAAAAAAAACAAAAACAAAACATATTGTAGCAGGAAGACTCACTGTCACACCATTAATGGTAACGCTAATCGGAGTTCCCATTCATTTTCTTTATCCTAAATCACCGACCTTGTACGAAATACTTTCCTCATACGTGGTTCACGCAAGACACTGCCACGTGGATACTCCGTATTCAAACTCAGGTTGATCGTTCTAGGGTTTCTGTAAACTGTGTGAGTTTAGAGTGAGAAACAGATACATACAAACATATATATAGAGAGAGAGAGAGAGGAACAAATTCTAGAGAGAGAGAGAGTAGAAATGGGGCAGGCATTTCGTCGAGCATCTGGAAGGATCCGAAGTACGAATCTCGAACCACCGTCGTCCACGGCGCCGAAGAAGGCGGTTGATAGCCGGCCACCGTTGGCACGGCCCGACAAGGTCGCCGGAGATAGTTTCGGTCCAGTTTCCGGTGAGTGTCCTTAGGGCGAGACACGAGCGATTTGATTTGATACAAATGCTAAGTCTTTTGTTTCGGATTGAAATTCAATCTACTGTAATTGCTTATAGTTCAAGCAATGTAGTTCAGATTCAGAAATTAGCATACTTGTTCATCAATCACACACGCACACACACAAGCTTGTCTTTGTATCTGATTAGTGAATTGTTCTTGAAAACCATGTTTATAGATTGTATATATAGTCATATTGTGAGTATGAATTTATTGAACTATAGTTTGAGTTGAGCTTAGAAAATTAATGATCATCAAAACGTGTTCAATCTTAGCTTACTTACATAAAAGTTAATCACCAACAAGTTTTTAACTAGACGATTAGAGCCAAGCTCGAGTAGATTGATTCATTTTATGGCCATATATATTATGCATACCCATATTTGAATGCTCACACACTGAATTGAGATTAAATTAGGAAACATTTTTAGCGAGTGAAAACCCATATTGAAATCATATGTGAAAGTACTATTAAACATACAAATTAGAGATTATTTATCCCAAAAAAAAACATACAAATTAGAGATCATGAGTGTTTAGTCTTTAAATTATGTAAAAACCAAGGTAATGTTGTTTGATCTACAGGACTATATAGATTCAGGTTTCTGTAAGTGTACCCTGTAACCTAATATTTCGCATCTGTAATATGAAAAAAAGAATACGAAACAAAATTATAGAGTTCCATGTTCCGTTCATCTCTATTAAGCTGAAATTTGGTTTAATTGCTAATTTGTTTATGGAGGAGGATAACATACTTCATTGGTTGAAAGTATGAAAAACACAGTAGAGGGAAAGTATTGTTAATAAAACTCCAGAACTCTAAAAGCTTACACCTTGACACATCCAGGCTAACTCCTCACCACACTGATAGAAGAAAACACTTTTGGCCTTCTTAAACGCTGTTATTAACATTCCTATGCAGGACCTTTACATAAGAAGAGGAATGTAAGTTAAAGCACACGATGCTACTCTACATTATCTATACTTACTATTGAGAAAATCTGTGTTATTATCATAAATTGGTAGGTTCTCATTTCTCCCTTCGTTGCAGAGGTTGAACCAAGAATTAATGCAGAAAACATCCTTGAAGAGCGGGATCCACAGTATGATGTTATGCTTAATCAAATGGTGGGTAGAATTAAATCCAAACCTGGAGGGAAACTTGAGATGGGTGAGGTGAGTTTGTGGAAGCTGTTATTCTATCTTCTTTAAATTCCTTTTAACAGATGCTATTGAAATTTGTGATGTTATTTCTCAGAACTCGAGATTTATTCTTATTATAAGTGTTTGGGGAAAAAATGTTTAGGAAGAATACAATGACCTTACCTTGCTTATGATTTATGAGCATGTATAGTAGAAAGTTGGTGCTAGAACTGTTTATACATGGTATCATTAAGGCTCTGAGTAGAGCATCAATACATGGGCTTTGTGGATCTATTACTGTTTTAGTCCAAATTTCTGTGACAACTAAATATCATTATCTCATTTACTTTCTACCATCAGTAGTTCTAAGCTCGGTTGATAATTTAATCAATGTTATCGCAGAGTTGTTTGGTTTGTCTACATGGTAAACCCATGTAGCTTGTGGGCAAGATGGAAGCAATAGAAACAGGTTTGGGATATGGACAATATATCATCTTCTAAACGACCCACATTCTGCTGTACTGGTTCTGCCATCTGCATATCTTACCCATTATTCTACTGCGCTCATTTTCTTTATTTTAATTATGAATATAGATAATAATAATACATTGTGTGCATATGCAATGCTGTGCATGTGACAGGGAGGGTAAATGGGAGATGGTTAGCTTTTAAACACCACTTATGGATCACTGCGTTCAATGTTGCAGCAATCTCTATCTGTATAGGAGATTAACTCATTCAATTCAATGCTTTCTAGAATGGTTCTGATATCTGATTTTAAGGGCATGAAGGTCTGTCAGGTTGAAAAGTTGGCATCACCTTTCCAAACCACACATCTTTTTTCTCATTATTCCTTCACAGGCACCTTAAGATACGATCTTGTACTCTTAGTTTGTTCTTTGTCCAAGTGTTTTGTCACTTCTTATCATACTGGTAATACTCAGCCTCTGCTTGATGAAGCGATAAATGAGCTATTTATAACATCTTAATTGCAGGCTTATCCTCTTTTCATTCTCCTACTTGCAGCCTCATCTATTTGTTGGGTCAATGGAACATACTGAATGGGAATGTCAATCATGTTTTGAATGAGTGAGTTTCACAACCCTGACAGTGTTTAAAAAAAAAATAATTATTGTTCTGTGTCTAAGTACTACATCATCTGAAATTCCTTGCCATCTTTAAGCAACCTAGGTGGCATAAACACGGGTTGCCATGTGCATCAATTAATTTGAAATGATTTATGCGGGTTGTGGTGGTTGTGAGGATAAATTATTGCGCCAACTGTTCTCTTAATTTTGGATATATATTTTCGCACCGGAGTTGATGACTGCACATTTCATTTCATGAAACTTCAATTTCTTTTTACCTTTTTAAGGTTGATTATGATTTCATTGGACTGTTCTGACAATATATGCTTTGTGCTTTCTGGTACTGTAGAAGAGAAATGTGTGCAAACAGATACTAAAAACCATAGGAGAACAAAGAATTCCTAAATTTCATATATTTGCTTTGCCAAGGATATGCTACAAGTACACATGTTTGTATGGACCGACAGCTTTCCAGTTCAAGTGGCCTACTCAATTTTACACAGTTTATGCTTTATATGTTTTCAATTGTTAATTTCTAGCGTTCTGTTGCAGGCATCCGTGGTAGAGAATTATAGAAGGCCTTTACCAAAATTGAGAAATACAAATATGGATTCCAGCAGATATGAGGAAAGACCCGTTCCTCCAGGGACCCTGAATGTGGCACAGCTACGCCACGTCATCCTCCTGCATCAAGGCAAGGCCGATGATCATGATGGGCCCATGGATATCCATCAGATTGCTGAGAAGTTCCGAGTTGATGTTGTGCAGATCCAGAAGATCCTCCAATCGGTTTCACTGCCTCCAGAGGACAGCAGTCAACACAAATGATCGGTGATGGATACTGGCTTTCAGCCTCTGTTGTTTTTGCTTTACTATCACAATTTTCTGGTGTTGAAATTTATTGATTGGAAACATTATTGGTACATTCACATTTATGAAAATCATAGGAAATTTTGGATGATTTGTGGGCTTGGTGGTTGAATACACGAGTGAACCTCTGGCAAATTCTTATTGTAATCACTAATTGAGAATATCTGCTATGGAGGGCAGTGAAATTTGGTTCTTCAGTTCTTTTTACAATAAATGATGAATCAATTATAAGGCAGAATTTTACATTTGATATCAGCTCGTTATTTGAATTTAGCTCGTTGTTTAAATAAATTCAACTTAAACATATTTTAAAATTGGTTAAATTTTTCAATGAAAACAATTTACTATTTGATTCGAAATGTATATATTAAAATTTTAAGCTCCTCCAAATCTCAAAATTTATTATGTAAATAAATCAAATTTGAATTCATTTTAAAGTTTTTGCAAAATTTTCAATTCAAACTCATTTGCAACCTTGGATTCAAGTGATATTTTCTGTGATGATATCATTTTTATAAATAAAGGCATCTTTAAAACATAACACGTGATTGACCCATATCTTATTACAAATTATGAAATTCATAATTCCTAGGCATTACTTGTACTCAATATCTCATGAATCATAATCTCTAGGTATTATTTATGGGTAATAACATACAAATAAAAAATTCATACAAAATTTTTATGCAAATGTTGTGAATCATTGGCCTCGTTTGGAAAGTGGCTATTTTAATAGGCTATTTTAATTTTTGACTATTTTAAGTAGGCTAAAATTTTTGTGTTTGGGAAGATGATTGGATTTTTTTGTGGTTTGATGTAATGTTTGTGAGAGAAAAAATGAAATGATTATGGGTTTGATGTGATATTTTATCTTATTAGCTATTTTAACCTATTTTGTCTTTTTGTAATTTTTAGCCTAAATTTGGCTATTTTTTTTCTTCCCAAACACCCCTACTAATACTAGAGTATCACTAATCCCAACATGCAAAACAGACTATTAGGAGACAATAAAAACAAAAACAAAAAATTGAGGGCCTCACATAGCCAGCCCTATATTTCTGAAAATGGGAAATATCATTCACACAATCAAAAAGAGTGGGGCATTTAGCCACTGTCCTCAAAACCCTAGAATTCATCTTCAACTCTGTTATTGCCACAATGATAAGACTATGGTGTATAATTAATGGCTAAACCAACTAAATGGCCCTTTCTTTCCCTTCTTCTATGGGGGGCCTTCTAAATTACACGAGAAAAAAGAATGTATGAGGGAATAAAAAAAAGTGAAAGATTTCATCAAATCAGCTTTTCATGTGAGGATGGACTCCAACCAATCTGATGTAAATTCATAAGCAACAAAAGTTACAGCACTGGCAGGCGCGGCTTTGATGATCGATGGGACGATACCCTTGTAGAGGCCAGCCCAACCCTCCATTTGTAAAATCCGGCAAAGCGCATCATACATATTCCTGTAACAGTGTAGTTCAACTCGAGCTCCATACCTCGGGTGTCTCTGTAGTCCTTCAATCTGCAACAGAAACAATTACGTGTCTAAGTGGGTATAAAGAAACCACCAAAAAGGGGCACAAAAATGGCTTCTTTGTTTTTCTTCTCCAAATTTACAATACAAATGTGAGATTATAAACCAAAGTAATATTAAATGATTACAGAATCTGAACAATGCTTAAAGAACAAGTACAAGAAGAATGCATGAGCATCTCAAGATCGATTACATTTTGGTTTTAATACACATTAGGACTAAGACAGAATACATGGAGCTCCATTTTAGCAAAACTATGAATAGGTATGAAGATGGAGTACAAAATGATGGCGGTAGGAGATATCTAAAGGGAGCATTTTTTATATTTTGGGTTATATTCATAAAGGTGGAGAAATTGAAAAGGATGCGAGTCATAAAATTAGAATCGGATAAATGAAATTGAGAAGTGCATCAGGAGTGTTGTCTGATCAAAAAAATGTTGAATAGGGTGAATTAGGCCCAATGATGGGGCAGTCCTACAATTGAGGAGAAGTTTACCAAGGCATTTGAACACAATAAATAAGATTACCAAATTAAAACATCCTCAAAAATATCATTTGTAGAACTTGCTAGTTTTTTTATGTTATTACACAAAAGCTAGAATATATTTGAACAACATAGTTATGACTAATCAAGGAAGAAGTTATCTTCAAGCCATTAGCGATTTGTCAAGCTTCCTAAGGCTTAGCTTTAGGCAACACAAATGGTCTTGACCATTCTTTTTATTGTAACTAGTTTAGACCATCAATCAAGGGACCATTGGTTCAATGGTAAAACCTTCGCCTAATAACCTTGAAGTTATGGGTTCAAGTCTCAGAATAACCACTTTGTAAACTATGCCAAAGGTTAGGTGTGTACCCAATCTTTCCCTCCCAAACACACATTAATGTGTACTATTGAGCATTTTTTTCTTGTTTTTTAGTTTAGACCATCAGTGACTTCGAGTTCTTATAGCAACAGGGCCTCAGACATAGTTGCTAATAGTGCTAAAAAAAACCCATCCCTTCTATGTATGCCTATGATCATGTACATGCCACCCTCCCTGGTGGCATGTATATAATATGATAGTGGTGTTGGTGGTAGATAGTGGCATGTATATAATATGATAGTGGTAGATTGTGGTAATATATAATATGTAAGTGGCATATAATGGGTTATGATGATGTTTGTAATATCTCCTATATAAGGAGTGTCATTTGGTCTTGTAAGATAAGAAGTTTTGAATATAACAGAAATATATTCCTTCTTCCTCATATTTTCGGAGTTCTTCTTCTTCATATGTCAAAGGTTAAGTGTGTACCCAATCTTTCCCTCCCAAACACACATTAATGTGTACTATTGAGCATTTTTTTCTTTTTTTTTCCTTTTTTTTAATTTAGACCATTAGTGACTTCAAGTTCTTATAGCAACAGAGCCTCAGACATAGTTGCTAATAGTGCTAAAAAAAACCATCTGTTCTATGTATGCCTATGATCATGTACATGCCACCCTCCCCAGGACCTAAAGCCTTTTTGAGAAGGTGATAAACTATATGGGGAATCATGGCCGTAAAGGGAGGTGCAAAGTTAGCATGCAGCAAAGATCACTTGCTGCCTGCCGCCATAGATGATTTCAGTCATTATTTAGTGAGGTGGACAGCAGCAATATGAAAGCCCCAATGTGAGAAAAAAGTAGGGGAAACAAGTTGTCAGCACACTTGTAAATGCTTAAAATTAAGGTTGAATTAGCAAATAGTTGTCGACCTGGGTGTCACCAAAAAGATCAAATGCATGTCTAAACTAAAGGTCAATTAATAGTTCTAGAACAGCGCAAAAAGTGATTCTTAGACAGTCAACGAAAATTGAGCCCAGAAATCCTAATATGGATGTGTCAACCCCGACCCTTTCTAACAAGAACACCTAAAGTAGAAAAAAAACAAAAGAATGCACCAAGTTTACATTCTCACCGAACATTTCTACTGTCAAACATACATCATAAATGTTAATCCTTCTAATGAATAATCAAAACGATATATGGAAACCTGCCAAACTCAACATCTTTAACGAAATACTGACGGTGGGAACATAATAGCCTGCCACAAGGTTGGGATCATACCTGAAACCTCTTCTTGACCACATCAAGTGGATGACAGACAAGTTTAGCACATGTGCCAGCTGCCAACCCACAGATTAAAAACTGGAAACTTGAAAGGGATTCATCAGCAACACCACCATTAGGTATTAACCGCCGGTTCCAGTCCTACAAGAAACACAGTAAAATAACAAAGACCACCATTATCATCGTTTGAGTAGATGCATAAACAAGTGTCCATCTACATTTCCACTAGAAGAAAGGATGTGAAAGTGGAAGGAAAAAAATATATATCAACCTTAAGTAAACCCAAGATTGGTTGTTTACGGTGGGTTGGGGTGTTTTGGGAGAAAGAAAAGAGAAAGGGGGCCGCTGTTGGTGTCAAGCCCCACCAAGCTTAAGTACGTGAAACCTTGGAAGTTCTTAGATGTGCATACACACACACTTTTTACAAAAGATAAAACTTGATTCCAATTCCTTCACACTAATGAAGTTTTATAATGGGATAGAGTCAAACCAAGGTTATACCATGAATTCATAGTACACACTTTTTAGTCCGAAACCAAATTTGTCTCAATTGCTGAAGTTAAAAGCAGCCTTCAAGAGTGCAGAATTCTATAATCTAGCCCACAGTCCTCAAATTCTTTGCCAAAGTTTTAGGGTTTTAGCACTGTTTTTTTGGATAAGTGAAAGTGTTTTAATGTTTTAGCCATATTGAGAGAGAGAGAGAGAGAGAGAGAGAAGAGAGAGATAGTCTCCTCTCCTCCCATACATTTCATGAGATTCCACTTTCTACCAAGATTCGTTTACCTAACTTTATCCAATTCAAATCTAAATATGGATGATGCTGGGATCAGCCCTGGTATTTAAAACCTTGAAACACACCAAGGCTGTTATGATTTATAAAGGGAAAAAAAAAATGACTGTGGGCTGCAATAGATTAGCACAAAAACATCAGCACCATGGCCATGGAAATAGATGGATATGCAATGAAGAAATTTGAGAAACTCATCAAATTACAGAGAGCCAGATGCAATTTCAGGCCACTGTTAATTTTTCAAGTTTTATGAACTTTCCCAGTTTTATCTTCATTTTAAATTGCACTATCAGATTGAAGATTCTACATCTACATTCGCCCTGAATACACTGCTATGTCACCTTATCAGTTCTCAGTTATGCAGATTTAACAAATGAGGCTCAAATTATTTCTCCTTGCCATCAATAAAGGAACCAATTTTTGAAACACGAAAATCATATACATCATACGAGTCATATGTATTAAAACATGCAGTATGACTTATAAAGAGTAAAACCTTACCATCGCCCAACGCTTGAAAGTATCATAGGTTCCAAACTGCAGGCCAGCATAAGGAATAATCTCAACCAGTGTTGGTGACAACCCAGCATAAAGCCCTCGAAAACCACGAGTTTTGATGATATCAACAAATGCAGATCTCATGGTTGGATAAACCTGAATGTGGACATACATCTTAGTCATTTCTATTTTTAAACAAGGTGTCTAAACCTCAGAGCCCTGATTGACACCCAGGACATGTTAGTGTCCATTCTACACCCATCAGGTAGTTACTAGGATAAATCCCTGTAAAGGCCTCAAGGGATACCATTTGTACTCGAGAAATCCCATTTCCTATACCCCTTGGGGTTAAATTTTAAGTCTGTAAGGTTAGAAATCCATATATTGCAAAAGAAAGCATTTTAGATGCACAAGATGCTTGGGTTTTTTCCCCCATAAATAACATGCCAAACTCATAACAGAAATCCTCAAAATAAAAAAAAAAATATATTCTGGAACACAAATATACTGATGTTATTGCATGTATTCAGATGTGATACCTTTGGCTCACCCTGTGAAGCTAAAATGGTTCGTAGAAGATCAAATGGATATGATCCAACCGTTGCTGCACATCCCGCTAATGCTCCACTGATATAAGAAAGATACGGACTTAAATGAATGTGATCCTCTGCATCACAAAAAACAGCAACCAGGATATGGCATGTAAGAGACCAATACTAGAAAGATCAGGCCTAATAATGTGCATATGCCTAGTGTTAACTGAAGTTTTGACATTTAACATTGCACAATCAAACAGCTTATATCAGAATTTATAAGATTAGTACCACAAACAAACACAGACAATCCCCTTTGCCATGCTTCTACGATAATAAAATAGAAGCACGATGCCTAGAATCGCATTAGGCATTGCTACGGAAAATTCATCATGTAGTCATTTGGTCCCATCCCAGTGACCAAAACTACACAATACATTTAGAACACAGCCATCCATGACAAATGAGAATAATTCCTTAAATAGTTAAACAACCAAAAGCCACTTTTCAAGCTCAAATCATTAGAGATCCAATTGTATGTAGTTAATCAGAATAATAACATCAAATACAGGCAATTGCATTTAGCTGAAAACAATAATAATTAGCTGAGGAATATAGCTCCTGTTTGGAAAGTGAAAAAAAGATTGTATGTGTAACATCTTATTATCCAAAGGAATAGATTGCCAAAGAGTGCAATATAGTTGTATCTCTGACGATTGTTTGAGTTGTTTAACAAACCTGTCTTGGAAGAACCAGCTGCAAATGTCTTCAATTTGTGCAACACAGGAAATTGTATGGCAGTATATGGCATAACCATGAGGAGTGCTGGGACATTGCCACGCCAAAAACCCTGTAATGAGCCATCAACATGAATAAAATGTCGCAAAAATACAAGGCATTGCCAAAATACACCAAATCTGATTTTCTTATAAAAGACAGCCCAGCCAAACTTGCAAAGATATTACTGTCCACCAGAGAGCAGAATTGAAATCAACAGAGGATAAACCTAAAACAGCCTTCTTAAAGCTTTATATCTTCTCAGTGGAATATGCTATTTTCCTATATTGGCTAATACAAGTATTAATACCCAAAACAATTCTCTTCACGCAGAGACCCAAAGAAAACCAACAATATATATATATATATATTGTTGTCAAAAATATAAGATACAAAATTGTAGCTTTATCAAAAGTACAGCACAAGCCCCACTTTTCTACACCTATGCAGATGTAACTCAAAACTGGTTATTGGGTTCAGTTTAATCTAATTGCCTAAGATATAGGCACCTCATTGGTTGCAATGAAATAAGAAATTGAATAAAAAGACCCAAAAAAATTAATATCATGAATATCATCCTTCAGCAATTGGTGATGGAAAATTAACCAACCTAAACCTAGCATCACAGACTTATGTGTAGTGCTAACAGAAAACATTATTACCAGTCTACAAATAAAGGTTAAATACCCGTAATCCTTCCTCTCTAAAGATGTCCTTAGTAGCTTGTAACATCCCAGTGTATTTTGATGGTGCATACACATCTTTATGAAGCAAAGCCCAAGAAGTAGTTGGTTCCAGCTGAACCTGAAATACCCAAACAAGGATTTTTTCAGTCCACCGTGTAACCTTCCAAATGTGAACAGGCATTTCCATATATGCACATGCATACATGCGTATACACACATGATGCAAAATAATGGTTACATCTACATAAAATAGTCAAAGTGGAAAACATGAAAGGTTTCTCATGTTTGTCATATTCTCTTAACATTTAAGCATGATATGTTTTACATTTGGATTATAACTTGTTCAAGGCACTTCGGGACATGTTTACTTTATATGAGTATCAATTTCCAACTCCAATCATTACAAACTCTTGAGAATTCATAAGTCAAGACTTAAAAAATTTCAGACTGAATAGTTCTAGAGGTTAATAGATACCCCCATGATAATTATATTTAGCATGTAAATCCTTCACCTAAAAAAAATATAATTTAAGTTTGGTTGGACTAAGAATGACAAATTTCTTTTTAATCCTAACTTTCTGGGCAAATCTCCTCCTTGACATCGATAACTACAGGTAAAAGAGTTACCAAATGTCTTGAATTATGGAAAGCCAAGATAGTTGTTAGGTGTACAACTACACATTGAACAATCAAATTAGAGGTCAAAGTGTAATTTCAGTTGATATTTATAACCCATATGCAAAAAGTCCAGGAAAATGGGTAATGAATGTGTAATTTCAAGCCAGTGTTTCCATAATCAAAGCAAATTCAATAAAAATATAGACAGTTAGTCCTCAACTGAATTTGGGCTGAATGGGATTCACAGATTTACCTGGAATCTGATCTTAATAACATCGAGCGGAGACGTTACTGTCCGCGATATTCCACCAGCGATTGCACCGGCAGTGGCATCTACAAATGCCCTTTTCAGCTGCCCCGGCTCTTCCATCACCCCAACAACCAAGCTGAGGTTTTTACTAGAACCTACAATCCAAATCAAAACCAACCCCCCCTAAGGTTTAACAATATCAAATCTACATCCAATTACACAAAAAAACCACAATGAATCAAACAACCAAAATACTCAATCAACAAAACCCAAACCTGAAAAGATTGTAACCAGATATGAAACAATACCAAACCTGAAAACCCTCCAGAAAACTAGGGTTCCAGCGATATTATGGTGAAATTGTGACTAATTTTTAAAATTCAAATCAAGATTTCATAAATATCATAAATAGAAACATATTTATATGTATTGATTGATATGACCAAGTACCTGGGAAGAGAATAGGGTAATGGAACGATAACAGCCGCCATTTTGACGATTTGAGAGAGTCAAAGTTTAGAAAGAGAGATTTTTGGGATGGTACCGCCTTCAAATATCTGTAGCGTCAACTTGGAAAATTTTAGAGAGAGAAATTGGGGACCAGACTAGAATTTACGAGGAGTTTGGGGGAAAAGAAAAGAAAAACAAAAGGAAAAATATTCGGAGAGAGATTGTGTGGGGAATGGAGGGTTATTATGACGCGCACAATTATAATAGTAGTCAAATTATTTAAACGGTTTTGTATCTATTATGTCCTCTATACTTTATACCTTAGATGATTAATATAATTATGATATTATTATTTTAAATTTATTATCTTATTTATTATATAAATTATAAAAATTTAAAGTTTTTAAAATTATATTATAATACATTAATTGATATTCAAATTCATACCTATAACATTATACATATATTATCGGATGATTTGAAAAGTTGGTTAAAAATTAAATTTTTTTAACTTTTTTATATGAGAGATAATATAATCCAAAATGAATTAAAAGTTGACTTTTATCATTTTCAAAATGACCCTATATATACACACACTTTTTAAACCTTTTTTTGTCCTACCAATTGTTCTTTAAAATGCCTCATCTAAAATTCTAAAAATAAATACAAAACATTAGAATTTGTTTGGTTGAATTTTAAAAAAAAATTCAAATATTTAAATTTTTCAACAAAAATGAATATTACAAATATATTTTTAAATTTTATTTTTATAAAAAAATCATATAAAACTAAAGAGTTTTTTTATTTTTTCCACAAAATTAGTTTTTGAAAAAAATAGAAAATAGATTTTAAACATTAAACCAGATAACAAAATTTATATTTATTTTAAATGGATAATTAGTAAGGTTAGACTTCTAATATGTTGTTTTTTCATTAAGACGTGGTGGCTCTTTGGTTTCCACCCTTGATAGTTTTGTTTTGTTTTGTCTTTCCGTGTGCAGATTAGAACTAATTTGTCTTCTATTGGAGTATTTAACAATGCTAGTCATGTTGATAGTTGTCAAATAAATATTTAATGATTTTAAACTTTAAAAATATCGTAATTTTCACTTGTACCGATTTATATCACATTCTATTTTTTTATTGGTTATGACTTCTTAGTTATGATCAAATTCGATTATGATCCGTCGATTAAGATTGTAGACTATTTTTAAGAATAACATTGACTATATTTGTTTTAATTATTATTATTTCTATCGACATGTATATTAATGTGGCGTGACATATATTAAGAATGTGGCATGATGATATTTTATGTTATTATATAATATATAATATACACTAGCTAGCTGTTATATAATTAGATATATACTATGTATGCTGTAAATGTTGTAAAGGGAAAACACCACTACCACAATGTTATAATATACACTAGCTAGCTGTTATATAATTAGATATACACTAGCTAGCTGTTACATAATTAGATATATACTATGTATGCTGTAAAGGGAAAACACAACTACCACACTTTCATTATTACGTACAGCTTTCATTATGCTTTTGTCTTTTCCTTTCGGTGCACTTCTCTATAAATGAGAATCACTCTTGTAACCAACACATACACTGAATATAACATTTTCATTCAGTCTCTCTCTTTTCTCTCTCTCTCTCTCTCTCTCTCTACCAAACTAACATGGTATCAAAGCGCATTTATACATTTCTGGCAATTTTCGATTTTGGTGCTTAGTCTCGTACACAGTGGCACTACACCAAACAGCTCGGAATCTCCTCATGATTCCAACGGCACCAGCCCGTCCTCAGAAACGCCTCCACTCGCCGCCTTTGTGCTCGGCGCGTCACAGTTTCTGCCACCACTCTCACACGCGCCTTCACGCGCCCTCTGTTGCTGCTCACATCTGCATCTGACGTCTGCCCTGCCTTTTGCGTGCGCCGCGCCTGCTACGGTGCGCTTCACGTGCGCCGCTCCACTGTTGTGCACCCGCGTGCGCCAAACCTGCTCCCGTGCGTCGTGCCTGCGCCAGTTTGTTACCGTGCACCGCACGTCTTCCTGCTATCATACTCCTCACTGAACTCTGCTAACGTGCGCCACTGACATCATTTTTAGCCCCTACTGGCGTTATCTCTGCACAACACACCTTTCTTAGCTATTTCGACTTTCCGGACTCACCGGTACACTCTGTTTTACCTAAATTTGCCCCTACAGGTCTGCTCCTATTTATTTCGTCCTACTCACCTATTATTATGGATCGTCATGATACCTCCTATCCCATTTATGTTATTCTTAATGGTTCTAACTATGTTCTGTGGGCCCAAGCCATGTCTTCCTTCCTTAAAGGAAATAAGCTCTAGTGCATTATCATCGGGGATGTGACCCACCCAGTGAAAGACACTAATGAAACCACTGCTACTGCTACTGCTGCTACTGTTGCTACATATGAAGACAGACTTGAGGAATGGGACAGTAAGAACTACCAGATCATTACCTGGTTTCGCAATACCTCTGTTACCTCTATCAGTCTTCAGTTTGGTCGTTTTCAGCTGGACTTTGTCACTACTTCTGCAAAAGATATCTGGGATTTTTTTGAAAGAACGATACCAGACTACTGGTCTTGCCCATCAATACCAACTTCAGAGCCAACTTCACCGCATATGCTAAGAATCCAGTTAGTCCATTAATGACTTTCTTTTCTCAAATGTATTCCGTTTGGGACCAGCTTGCTGTTTCAGAACCAACTTGGCCTCACCGAGAATATGCTGTTTTATTTATTATCCATCGTAATCAGCAAAGGTTGGTGCACTTTCTCATGGCTCCCACCTCATCTTTTGAGCCTGTATGTGCCTCTCTTCTTCATCGTCATCCATTGCCCACTCTTGAACAAGCTATTTATGACCTGCTATCAGAGGAGACTCGTCTTGCTACTCTACAAACTCATCATGTGGACTCTGTTCCTGCCACTCATCCGTACCAGCCATCATTTACCTCGCGGACCACTGCCTGCCGCTATTGTCAGAATCGGGGCCTTCCTTCAACACATCTCCTAGTCAATTGTCCCGTCAGATCCTACCGATACTGTAACAAACTTGGTCCCGGTCATCTGCAACAGGATTGTTTTCGCAACCCATCCCGATCATCCTCCAATAGCCACTCCTCTCGCGGTGGTTCTTCCCGGGGGAGCTCTCATCGTTCTGGGAATCAGTCTCATTCCGGGAATTAGTCTCATCACACTGCTGCTGCTGCCTCTGATGGGTTTTTCTGAGTCACCTGCTCCGTCTACCCCTCACTTTTCTCCAACGAATGTAAAGGCCATGTTCAAACAGCTTCTCTCTCCTTCTGGTACACCTCCTCCTACTGCTTTGTCTGTGATCCCAAGTAACTCTTCTTGGTATTTTGACTCTGCCTGTTGTAATCATATGACCCCTAGTTCTACTATATTTTATTACATCTCTTCATCTCCTCATATTCTCTCAATTCATACTGCTGATGGTTCTCTCATGTCTGTCCGTCATATTCGTACTATTTCCACATCTTATTTATCTTTACCTCAAGTTTATCATATCCCTGCTATCACCTTAAACCTTATTTCTATTGGTCAATTATGTGAACTTGGTCTAACTGTCACATTTTCTGCTACTGATTGTTTGGTGCAGGACCCTCAGACGGGGCAGACTGTTGGGATCAACCGTAAGCACGGACGTCTCTATGAGCTCCTTCACCTTCATGTTCCTGATTCTCCTCAGATCGCTGCTCCTGCATCTACTTCCTCGTTATCTCCTTTTCATCTTTGGCATTGTCGCTCAGGGCATATTTCTATTAATCGCTTAAAGTCTTTGGTTTCTAGTGGACAATTGGGTCATGTAATTCCATAAAATTTCGATTGTATACCCTGTCAACTTGCCAAACAACTTGCTTTATCATTCAATAAAAGTACTTCTGTTTCCCATGCACCGTTTGATCTTATACATTCGGATATTTGGGGCCCCTCCTCTACTACTACTATGGGGGGATCTCGCTATTTTGTTGTGTTTTATTGATGATTTTTGCTGGTTTACTTGGCTTTTTCTCATGAAAACTCGGTCTGAACTTAAACACCTTTATTATAGATTTGCCCAAATGGTCCACACCCAATTTTCAAAAACCATCGAACTTTTTCGCTCTGACAATGCTATGGAATATCGGGATTCAGATTTCCTTTACTTTCTGCAGAGTCATGGTACACTGCCTCATCGTTCCTGTGCTGGCATGTTCCAGCAAAATGGCTGTGCTGAACGGAAACATAGGCATATTCTTGACACCACTCGCGCTCTCCTCCTCTCTTCTTCCTGCCCTGAAAACTTTTGGGGGGAAGCTACCCTCACTGCTGTCTACACAATCAATTGTGCTCCTATCCCTATCATCCATAATCAAACTCCCTTTAAACGTCTACATGGCACTCCTTCTCCATACACCAATCTTCGGATTTTTGGCTCTGCCTGCTTTGTTCTGCTTCAATCCCATGAACACACCAAGTTTGAACCTCGTTCTCGTCTTTGTTGCTTTCTTGGGTATGGAATTGAACATAAAGGCTTTCGCTGTTGGGATCCTCTCTCTAAACGTCTTCGTATCTCCCGACATGTCGTTTTTTGGGAGCACAAAATGTTTTCCTCCTTATCCTCCTTTCACTTGCCCGCACTTTCTACTAATGTATTGTTTACTAATCCTTTCATAGATCTCTTCTCTGATGATTTTGATACAAGTTCCTCCTTCGTCGAGACGCCCTTGCTCACTCCTGATCTCGTCCAGACTACTCTCCCTGAAGGTCCACCTCTCATTGCACCACCTCCTTCTCTACCGGTTCTTTCTCCCACCGATCCTCCTACAGGTCAACTACACCGGGTAACTCAACCTCCTATCCATCTTCGTGATTATATTGTTGGGTCTGTTGCCTTTTCTACTTATGAACCCACCTCCTATCGTGAGGCTTGTACTAATCCTCTTTGGCAGCATGCTATGACTGATGAACTCCAGGCTTTGAACAAAACTCATACTTGGGATCTTGTTGATTTTCCTCCTGGCAAGACTACGATTGGCTGCAAATGGGTTTACAAAATCAAGACTCATTCTGATGGCTCTATTGAACGCTACAAAGCTCGTGTTGTTGCCAAAGATTTCAATCAGG